GTAATGGTTCGCGCAGTGGGTCGTTAAACTTAAGGTGCAGGTCCGAGTCCTGTTTGAGGTGGTCATTTGCCTCTGACTGGGAATTCTTTCGGTAAAATGGGAGAAGTGCCAACCAAGCAACGGTAAGGCTCGTTAGTTCGCAAGTAACATGGCCTATATGGATTTGTTTGGTACAGTAGGCTACTCTATAGGCGTACTACTACGAGAAGTCTTTGCCGAAGAACTTAATCTACACGCTCTCTCTTTATCCGACCAAATGTGCCGATTTTGGAGAAGAAGATGTCCTGCTGTGCATCGGCGAGCTGTAGTAATATTAAAGTAATGTTTAGGTATGGGATGTATTCGGAGGCTTTCAAAGTCTGCGAAGTCTACCAGGAGCATGGCGTATTCCGAACCTATCAAACCATTACTGACATTCTTCTGACATTCTGTGTTCTATACATGAACGATTTTGTCCGCGTAGGCCTCGGCCGTGATTCCCTGTGCCACTTTTACGTCACTTCTTGATGACATCCTGACCTAGTCATCAAGTTTGATGATATTAGTTGTCAATAAAAAATTAATCGACCAATCAGTCAATTTGTCAATCACTCCCTCTTGTCTAGTCCATTTTCGATGTTTTCTACCTGGTTGTGCAAGTACCAGTTATGTAGAACACCTACTGACTTTTAATTTCTCACGGCGATTCTGTTCTGCGCTGAATCCTTTGCACTTTGCAATTTCCAATAATTGTCTATTACGTCTGAACGAAATTGTGAACCTTGCATTTTCGCCCGTAAATGTCTCTTTACAGGTAAGACTGGCCTCGAATGCAAGCATGCAGGCATTATGGCCCTATCACACCTATCGTCCGGTCACTTGGGACCGATACTACGTCAATGAGCACCATGAAAGTGAGTTTCTTCAGTTCTGATAGGAGAAGAACTACCTATATTACCGTTTTTGTACTTTTACAAGTAACTTCTATACTCGTGACTTCTTGGTCCACCACTTGAGCTCCCTTTGATCTCCCAGTCAAGCTGACCCCAGTAATTTCCCAATCAGGGCACATGTCGCAGTCGGGGAGAATTTTCCCGGTACGAATCCACTTTTCTCTCTTCATCATTACCATTTTCCTATTTCTTGCCAATTCCCCACGAATTCCTTTTCTTAAAAAATTCCCACGCCCCCGGAAAAAAAGCAAAAAACTACCGTCGAGCTGGAGAGAAGGTGAAAGGGGTACACACTCACACTTGGAACAGGAAAAAAGAAACCGAGAAAAGACAGCAGTTGGAAAAACTCTTCTCAGAGACCATACGCCCTCCCCCCAATGACCGAATAAGGCCCTCCTTGGTGATATCTCCGAAGTGCAACGTGCCCTGTTTCTCATACTTGCTGAGAGCTGACAACTCCCTCTCCCCCACACTACCGTGAAATTTTGGGAACATTTTGTAGGAGTGTAGGTAAAGTGTGAGAGGGAGTCCTTCTAAAGAAGGAAACAAGGAGTCGTGCTGACTACGCCGTTTCACCCATCCCCAGATCAAGGGTAATCCACAGAACAAGGATGCTATCACCCTGCACAGGGAGTATTGCTTGTGAGCATTCATTTTCTATGTCTCTCACTTGTTCCTCTGTGGAGATGACCCTTACAATTAGGAGAGTTGGTCAGCAGATCCAAATTGTGACGTCGCGTGCGCGGCAATCGCACCGCAACCTAATTGATTTGACAAGAAGGTACCTGAGTGAATCGAGCCAGCTGGTGGAAACCTAGTATCTACCCGTGGCCTGCGTCTTAGTTCGAATCCTGTACTTATCCACTCCAGTCAATATCGCTAATTACTCTAGTGTCTATTTACCCTATGCCTTCATCTCTTCTTCCGTATCACTTTCTTTTCAGAACATCCGTCGGTGAGCAGTGGTGTGGCCGCGGGCGTTACAATAGGCATCTTTTTCATAGTCTTTCTTTTCACATTCGGTTGCCGTATCTATAGCCAATACGCTGATCGATCACAATCACAAAGCCCACAAACGCAAGGTGAGTACTTGGTGCAGTTTTTGTTAATTTTATCAATATTTCAGTCTCACCCCACCTGTTTTACTCAGGAAATTGACTTTTTGAATAGTACCTCATAGATCAGGTTCTTACTAGTGCCTTATTCGTTGCGGGTGGGCATGTTAGGAGACTGGGCTTGGCACGGCTCCCTGCCGTTCACTACCAATGTGGAAGCTGGCAAGCGACCACAGTAAGTGGAAAACGGGCTGGCGCAGCGCAAAACCCAGTCCTCTACCCAAGTACCCACAGCGGACAAAACTGTGGACACCTTTTCTGACCAATCAGATATTATATGGACTTTGTGAACACATTATCCATAACCAAAAACTACAAATTGAAAACGAGTTTTTTCAGAGTCAGGCGAAGTGAAGTCGTTAGCGGAGGATATTGGATATGCGGGTAGCCACAAAGGTTCCACCGCGCACCCCTACGACGGTGGCGATTCGTTATGCCATCTTCTCCACGGATTCTAGTCCAGTTTGAGGTAAGCACTTGAATTGGTTTCACACTTTTCATCTGAAAATCATTTTCGAGAGGCAGGTTTCACTGATGGGACGGGATAAGTTGCGCTGGATTTGTTCAAGAGTAACCGATGGGATATCTCCCGAGCTTACCAGATGTTGCCCGTTTTTTGGGTCTGGCGAGTTTTCATTGCTGTAGGCAGGGCTAGGCTCGTTGGTTTCGGTACTGCGAAATCATCGGAAAGCCGTTTAAGCCGTTTGTCAGTATGGGTAACCCTAGAGGGTCAGTTGTTGCATCAAACAACAAGGCAATTACACTGCGATTCACAAATCCCATTCCAACCTTCTCCAGAAAGCGATAATCGATAAGGTAGACCGCTTTTTTCTCTACCGCACGGATGGGACTTCAAAGCGGGTGGCAAGAAAGCCGTAGGTTCTGGCTTGAGAGCTGTATACGCGCTGTTGTTAAAACGCCCATCCCAAGCGATACGGGGATGACAGCTGCCGCGCTTGCTTGTCCTTACATTCGCGCACAGGGCACATCTTGCCATTGGGGTAGAGTTCCCAAAATACGACCCCTTCAGCCCAAAATATCCCTTTTAGTGCGGCTTTTCCTTCGCCATCCTCCCCAGATCCAATCCCTCGGAACCAGCACTCCAATTCTCATGGAATGCCTTCCACTTCTTCAAAAAAAACACTTCCTTTGGAGAGGCTGGAATTTCTCTACTTTTCTCTGGAGAAAACTACCTTGAAAGAGGGAGGGGACGGAGGGTAAGTGGAGTGAGGATGGATGATGTCCTAATGAGAAGAATAGATAATCAACTGCTTGCACTCGACATTATCATTCATAGTGCCGCAGAAGTGACTGCTTTAACTACTTTCTTGTCATTTCAGGCGATCTTGGACTGCCTGATTGATTGCTGCCAAGGCTTTGTTCAGCACAACAAAGCCTCCTGCTCAACAATGATAACGTGTATAAATCGTAACGGTTCTCAACAATCACCCTCACACACGCCGTCTTATTTTGCCGCTGGATGGTGGCACGGTCTTATGGTCAACTTGAGTCGTATTGGTAACAAAATAAGGACGAACGAATAGCCCAAAAAGTAGGGAGTAGCCCTGAAACTAGACTAGCATCACCTTGATTCCCTTACTCGAGTTGATCATCTGTTCGTGTTTCGCTTTCCAGAAGCCAGATTTGTGGCCCTTAGACTTTCAATATTTGTTCTCTTTCTTCTATGAGCTTTGATATTTCCATTTTGATATGTTCGTTGCTCAGGGTACAAACCTCATTACCCTTCACGGATACTATGAAAACGAGTGCCTTAGCATAATTTGTTGTAGACAGCACAGCTCACACTGAAATTACGGCCCTTATATGCTCATTATGTTTACCTACCCGACGT